CCTAGCCGCCGCCATCCGTGAGAAAGCCGCCGTCTGGAGAGCAGGTGACTCAGACATCCTAGATCCCTAAGAAACCAGGCGTCCGAGAAGCTGCGATCTCAGGTGCCCAGGATTGTTAGGAGGCTAATAGCAGACCCGGGGCTCCGAACCTTCGGGAGCTGCCCCCGGCCCAACCCACCCTGGAATCTCCGCCTTGACGGACGGTTTGGGGAAAGGCACCGCTTCGGCGGGAGCCCGCCGGGGCGGGGGGGCTGGGCACAGCCGTCGGGGGGGTCCCGACCCAGGCCCGAGCCCAGCCACCGCCTCCGGGGCCCGCGGAGAGCCCCCGGCCTCTGCCGCCATTGCGCCCAAGAGTGAGGAGGATTTGCTGGCCCTGGCCGCGTCGCGGCTGAACCGCCGCAAGCGGGTAGCCGGCGCAGCCGTCGGGGTGACCATGGTGCTGTTGCTGCTGGTGGCCATCCCGCTGCTGGTGCACAGCTCCCGCGGGCCGGCGCACTACGAGATGCTGGGTCGCTGTCGCATGGTGTGCGACCCGCACGGGCCCAGAGGGCAAGGCCCCGACGGCGCGCCCGCCTCTGTGACCCCCTTCCCGCCGGGCGCCAAGGGAGAGGTGGGGCGGCGAGGGAAGGCAGGCTTGCGGGGGCCCCCGGGACCGCCTGGCCCCAGAGGGCCCCCAGGAGAGCCAGGCAGACCAGGGCCCCCGGGCCCTCCAGGCCCCGGCCCAGGCGGAGCGGCGCTCCCTGCCAGCTATGTGCCTCGCATTGCCTTCTACGCCGGCCTGCGGCGGCCTCATGAAGGTTACGAGGTGCTGCGCTTCGACGACGTGGTGACCAACGTGGGCAACGCTTACGAGGCGGCCAGCGGCAAGTTCACCTGCCCCATGCCGGGAGTCTACTTCTTCGCCTACCACGTGCTCATGCGCGGAGGCGATGGCACCAGCATGTGGGCGGACTTGATGAAGAACGGACAGGTGAGAGACCCCTGCCCTCACCCAGTCCCACATCAGATCCCAGTAACCTTCTAAGTCGCTTCCCCAACCCGAGCCCCTACTTCAAAACAGTATCACTGAATTCAGGGACGCCAGAAAGCCATAAACATAGCCATCACTTCATTTAGAGAAAGAGGAATAGAGGGCCAGAGAAATGACACTACCTGCTCAGGTTCTCAGGGAACTTTAGGAACAGTGTCAGCATTAGAATTCAGGGATCCGGGCTCAATGTCTCTAGCTGCGTCCTCACATTACAACTATAGGCAACCGCTCGCCAAACCTTTTTGGTCTCTCGTCTCGCAAACTAGCCCTCTTCTCCTGCTATGCCCCTGCCTTCTGGGCAGCCCTCTGGCCTGTGCGTTTCCTAGCCTCGGCTTGAGCGAGCTACCAGGGTCTACCCAGGTCGGACTCTGAATTAGAATGGACTATGCCTCAAGGGCAGTGAGAAATATGCAGCGGTTCCTGTGTAGGGATATCCAGCTTAGATTTTCCAGGAAAAGGTATAAAAGAAAGAAAACACTCGCTTCTTCGCCAGGCAGCTGCCCTGTTGCTTGCCCCAGGGTGTGGGGCCAAGCTTATAGCCAGCTTTGCCCTCAGCTAAAACTGAGTAGGTGGAGAGAGGTAGGAAATGGACAGGCAGTTCAGAGGCCAGCCAGGTAGCTGGTTAAGGAGCAGTTTTGGAAGAGTCAGGCACAGATGCAGCTTCGGACCTTGGCCTGGTCCGGCAGGCCCCACATCCTCCCTCACACCCTTTCAGCGTCCAGGTTCCTCTGCACCTTGCTCCAGCGCGCGATGGAGTCATCTGCTGTCTCGGTTTGGAAGAATAACCCCAAGGACTCAGGCCGAGGACCCGGAAGCCTTTAGCTTGAGCTAAAGGCTGCAAGCTCCGGCATGGGGGGTGCTGGGCAGCGCAGGCCACCGGGGGAGGTTGGGGCTGAGCGGTAACCTCTGCATGCCCAGTGCAGTGGGGTGGGTGGGGGTGACCTGGACCGCGCCAGGCCTGCTGGTCTGTTCCAACCTGGGGTCAGGCTCCCGGGCTCAGCATCCTCTCCACTATCAGACGTGAAGAGATGCTTTGGGGTCTTCTCGGCAGGGCCACCCCAAGAACCCGGAAAGGGGATAAGCGTACATGTGTGTCTGTACAGGGGTAGGATGCTGTATGTGTGTGTGTGAGTGTATGTGCGATTCGGGAGTGTGTCTGCGGGTGCCGGGTGCGAAGGTGAGTGTGGAGCCAGGTGGATCCGCATGTGGCACTGAGTAGGTGTGCGGGCTTTCTGCAGGCTATCTGTGGGGGGTGGGGGTGCGAGAGTAAATAGAGTGTCTGTTTCGGAGGGGGCGGGGCCGCGCGGCTCCCACTCTGTATTCCGTGGCGCCGGCGCTGCGGCCCTGGGGACTGTAAATAGTGATTAGAATAATGATGAATAATTAATAAGTTAATAACCAGCCCCCGCGGGACGGGAAGCGGGGGGGGGGGCGGATTGAGGAAGGGGCTGGAGGCCCAAGGCAACCACGGCCGGGCCAGAAGGGAAGACCCGCTCCTTGAGGGGCGGAAGGCGACCTCTTCAAGGAGGTTTCCGCGGACTCCCGAGGGGAAATAGACGCCCCAGAGGCGAGAGGGCATCAGTGCACCTTTCCCTGGCCTGCATCCTCGCACGCACACAGCCAGACCTGTGTCCGTCACCGCCGGAAGCGAATGCAAGTTTAGGTCTCACAGGAGGTCAGAGCGGCGACTGAATCAGAAATTTCAGTACAGGAGAATTTTATTTAATATCTAATAATAATAATAAGCCGTCGCCGTAATGTTGATTCCGATTCCTAGCGACGCTGTAGGACTGAGTAGAAGTGCCCCATAGGGTTTCCAAGGGAGCTCTGGTGGCGTAGTGCCTAAGGCACTTGACTGCTAACCAGAAGGCTGGCGGTTCAAACCCACCAGCCACTCCTCGGAAGGAAGATGGGGCAATCTACTTCCGTGGTGGTACTGCCTCGGAAACCCAAGGAGGGGTCGCTATGAGTCGGGTCTGACTCCATGGCACATAACAACAACAACAACAATCTTTACCGAAGCACCGCAGAGCGGGCTGGTGGGATCAAACTGCCGACCTTTGTGTTAGCAGCCCACCGCTCAACAACTGCGTCATCAGAAACTGAGAATAATAGTGCACCCTAGATAGTGTTTTCTACGTGGAAAACACTGTTCTAATACACTGCACATGTAGTAACTAATTTAATCCTAGCAGTCTTCAACGGTTCGTTCTGTTACTATCCACCCCTCGCCTTCGCTGTGCTCCCTAGCCTTGCAGCCCGCAGCCCTCGCGCCGCCTTCGCACTTCCGACCCCTCTGGGCACCGTAGCTCGGCACCGGGGTGAGTAGTGTTCTCTCTCGCTAGGTCCGAGCCAGCGCCATTGCCCAGGACGCGGACCAGAACTACGACTACGCCAGCAATAGCGTCATCCTGCATCTGGATGTGGGTGACGAGGTCTTTATCAAGCTGGATGGTGGGAAGGTGCACGGAGGCAACACCAACAAGTACAGCACTTTCTCTGGCTTCATAATCTACCCGGACTGAGCCGGGCCCCATCCCCCGCGCCCTTGCTCGTCTCTCTGCTCCCCACTCCACCCAGCTCCAGCCGGCCTAATCCAAGGCGCCAACCCATCCTTCGAGAGCCCGGCAGGTGGCGGGCGAACCCTCCCACTCCCGAGGCGGCCGAATTTGGGCCAGACTCTTGGGAATCAATGATTGGGGAGCAGAGGAGGCAGGGCCGTGGAAGAGCAGAGCTCCTGGGCAGGGACCACCACCCACTTGAGGGCTGATGTGAAAGCCAGACCCGAAGAGGAGCAGAGGTCACGGCCCCTCTCTTGCGCCCTAAACTGGGGGGTAGTTTCACTAATCTGGGGACAGATGCCCAGAAAGCAGAAGGGCGGCCCTGGCGGTTTGGGAGCAAGAAAACAAAGAGAATGAGTGCATCCCTGCGGTTGCGAGAGGAAAGAGGGGTAGGCGTTCCTCCTGCGTCACAACAACTTCATCTCACAATCCCCTCAGCCCCTCACCTCCATATTCAGGCTCCAGCCTCCAGCCTTGGCAGCCGTCTTGTGAACTGGAGGAACCAGTGATCTTTCCTGGCATTTAAAACTCATTCTCGGAAGTTCCCATTCCACTCCCGTCTGGGCTATGCTCTGGGGCTACAGCTTCTGTTGCCTCTTCCAATAAAGTGCAGTTGGGGAATGTGTGTGACTGCTTTGGACTTGGAACTCTGAATGGGGCAAAAGTTACTGAACCTTTCCCTCACCCCTCTCAGGGATTCCCATCCTGCTTGTCACTCTCTGCTAGAGGCAAAGGGTTAGTTATTCCTGGCAAAGTCTGCCTTTGGGGGAGAAGGGAGCATCTAGGGCTTCTACTCTGCTATGGGAAGCAGGGTATCATCAGCTTTCAGGAAAACTCTGGGGACTCACGCTGTAGGCCCAGGGAGACACAACTCAGTAAGTGACGCAAGGAGAGGTCCAGAACATCTGGGTCTGGTACCTCTGCCATTCTGCCTAGTGCTGGGGGACAGTTCTAAGAGAAGCTGCCAGGGGGTAAGGGTTGATGACTCCTGGGATGGGGGTTGACCTCAAGAAGAAAAAAGAGCAGGTCCCCAAAGACCCACAATCACCCCCCACCCCAACACATTTATAGAGCTGGCTGAGGGGGTTGGCTAGCCAAGAGTGGAGTAACTTCATCTCTTCCAGACAGCTCCTAGGTGAGAGAGAAGCCTGGGTGATCCTGAGAGCCCAGGGCTGGTCTCTAAGCTGGAGGGCACTGCCACCGTGTGGGCAATTGGAGATCAACACTAGAAGCTGACCTAGGTCTGGTGGCCTAGGTCTGACTAGAAGAAAAGAGACACTTGGACACTTTATAAACTTTATTGAAGGACAAAAGAATATTGGCTCTCAGCCCCACAGGGGTGAGAGGAGGAAGTGACAATAAATAAGGGCTAAAAGAAAGGAGCAAGGCAGGGCAGATGGAAGTGTGCGTCATGATGGAGAGCCCTGAGAGGCAGCAGAACCAACTGGAATAAAACACTGGAGAGAGAAGACACTGTCACAACCTAACCATCTTTGAACTGTAGTCAACTCTTTCCCATTGACTTTCTCTGAAAAGGAGCCAAGGCCAGTCCTCTGCTCCACTCCCCTCAACAAGGGTTGGTATGCAGTCAGAGACTCACCAGGGCTTCCTGCCATTCCAGTAACGCAGCCACAGGGTTGGTACAGACCCGAGTGGGAGCTGAGGGAGGGGCTCGACTGGTGTAGAAGGCACATTCATCATCCAGGCGGGCCTCATGGAAGCAGTGGATGGCAGTCAGACATGCTTTGAGGCGCTGCCTCAGGGCCAGGGTTCGAGGGGCCAGACTACTGGGGCCTGAGGGCCGAGGGTCAAAGAGTTCAGAAGAGGACTCTGGAGTCCTGTGCTTCAACATATACTGTCCTTTTTACCTCCCCCAAGGGCCAAACCAATTAGGAGCACAGAGCTAGAAGCGCAGCTTCTCCCTTCTGAGGGAGAGCCAGGCAGATAGATGATGGAGGGAAGTAAGCACAGATCACTTGGTGTGTGGAAATGGGCCCAGCTCCCAGTGAGAGATGACCACACCACCTCCTTTGTTCTCATCCCTTCCCAACCAACCCCTTACCTGACTGCCCTGGTGGGGGCCTCAGAGACTGGAGTGAGTGGCTAGGAGGGCTGGCACAAAATGAGTGTTGGGAAGAGATCAGGCTGGCAGGCACTGGAGCACACTGATTGTTGTGGGGCTGTTGGATGGACTCTGGACTTCTAGGTTCGACGGGGCAGGCCTCTGATGCCCCAGGCTCTACCCTAGGGTGGGGCTCTGGGAGTCCATTCTTCTCCTGGGGGCTGTGTTGAAGGGGTCCAGGCTCTGTTACTCCAGGCTGTTGTTGAGGGGAGGGCTCTGGTATCTCAGACTTCCTCCTAGGGCAGGAGTCTGGGAGCCCTGGCTCTGCTGGAGGGCAGGGCTGTGGTTCTCCACACTCCTCTGGAAGGCAGGGTGCTGGAAGCTCAGAGTGCTGCAACAGTCCAGGAAGGTGCGAAGTCCCAGAATTATGCTCCAGGGCATTCAGAGTTGTAGAAATTTCAGCCAGCAGGGGATGAAGTTCATCCATATCCAGAGAGGAGTCTCCATTAAGGGGGGCATACTTGCCCCCTGCCAGCCCCTCTACCTCCTGTCTCAACAGCTGCTGCAGGATACTGATGCGCTGCAGATAGAAGAGAGTACCCTGGTATGGTGTGGATTCGAGTACCGTACTCACACTACCATCACCCCATACCCCATCTCTTCCTGTTTCCTCCTCAGGCATCAAAGCTGTGGCCCCCACAGACCCACCTGCATTTTCAGCTCCTGAAGGTTGGGCATTCTGTTTGGGGGAAGTCCATAAGGAGCCACAGGAGGTTTCGCAGGCTCCTCCTGGAACCCTGTAGAACTCTCCTGGTCAAATAACTGTACTGCAATCTGCTCCTGCCAGATGGGAGGAAAAGGGAGATGTGGGGAAGCCAGGCCGGGGCAGGCAGATGATCAGAGTACTACCCTTATGAGGAAGGGATCCAAGTCCCTAAATGAGAAGACCTAGATTTAGATTAGGAGAAGCAGCAAAGAAGCAGGGAGATTTGGAGTTAGGTAGTTTTGCCAGGGAGCCCACCTGCTGGCCTCCAACCCAAAAGGGCAGAGAGAGGGATCTCAGCACAGGAGGGCTTCTAATACTTACCCAGGGCAGGAAAGGCTCTTCAGGTTCGGGGCAGGACTGAGGGGAGAGACCACTCACCCATTGGCCCTGGGACCAGAAGTAAGATGTCAGCAAGGCCCAGCACTACAGATGGGGCCCTATGTCCTCTGGCCCCTGTCTGTAATCCTCCCTGTGCTCATCTATTCCCCTGCTCCCTCTGCCCCAGCCTCGATCTGTGCCAGCTACCTCCTGTCTTCTCTTACCTGCTGAGCTCTGGGGGCTGATGGGATGGGTGTAAACTGGATTTTGGGGCGAATAGCAAGGCGCCGCAACACGGAATATGAGGTCTAGGGAGAGATGAAGCGGCTGAGCAGGGATAAAGCCTAGATCCAGTGGGGAGCCTCAGCCAGACTGTTCTGCTCTAGCCCTGCCCCTAAGAATCATAAGCACAAACCGGAACTGAGGGGTGGGGAGAAGGTACACGCTGAGCCCCTCCAAATGGTGAAGGGTGGGTGACAGTAGGTGGCACCACGCGGCCAGGCATGGGCTGGACAGTGGAGAGAGTCAGGTGGGAGTCATGGCTGTCCTGTGAAGAAAAAGTTGGGAAGAGTAATCCCATCCCCCTTTGCCCTCCCCCAGGTCTTGTTCTCACCACAGTAGCCATTGTGATTCTTCTAAGACATAAGTGAAATCAAGTCACTCCATCTCTGATCCTCACCCCATGGCTTTCCATCTCATTCCAAGTAAAAACCAAACACTGGTTTATAAGCCCCTAGCTAATCTGATTCTGTTACTGCTCTAACCTCATCTCCTTCCCTTTTCTTCCTTACTCTCATCAGCCTTTCTGGCCCTTCTTTGTTGCTGATCCTCAAATATACTAGAAACCTTCCCTCCTTGGGGCCTTTGCAGTTCTCCTGGCCTGGAAGTCTCTTCCTCCAGATATCTGCATGGCTCTTTCCCTCAAATCCTTCTGGTCTGAAATTTCCTCAGTGAGATTCCTCCGAACAACCTATTTAAAATTGCAGTACCAGCTCGCTAGTCCCAATTCCCCTTCAGTACCCTATCTTCTCACATTGAACTTGTCATCATCTAACATACTATACCAAAAAAAAAACCACCCTAACTCGTTGACATTGAGTCAGTCCCTACTCATGGCAACCCTACATGTTACAGAGTAGAACTGCCCCAGAGGATTCTCTTGGCTGAGATCTTTATGAAAGCAGATTGCCAGGCCTTTCTTCTTGGTGCTGTTGGGGGGGGTTCAAGGTTAGTAGAAGTTTAGTCATCAAGCACAAACCATTTGCACCACTCAGGGACCTTTGACATACTATAGATTTTACATATGTGTTTATCGCTTGCTCCCCCTTCTAGAAAGGGAACTTGTTTACTACTTTATGTGCAGAGCCTAGAACAGTGCCTGACACACTATATATGTTCAAGAAGTATCTGTGGAGCAAACAGATGAATGCTATTGACTGACAAGTATCAGTTCTCACTATCAGCACTGATCTGATGATAATGTAACTATGTATCAGTCTATGACCTCTCATTCCAGGCCCCAGACACCAGGTAAAGAGAAGTCACTTCCATTCTGGAGAGCTTGGACCTATTTAGCACAAAACTACATAAAATAACATCCTGAGGTCCACGTTCGCCTGGCCCTATGCACAATCCTCAGGGTTGGCTGCTGCTGGGAGGGAATTCTCCCCAAGCACCTCCCACCCTCACCCCCTATCCTGAGAAGGTCTCATCTCACCCTGGTGCGTGATTCTCTCAATGGTACCCTCTGGGCCAGACCGAGGGGGCCTCCTCTGCCTTCATCTGAGTGAGGGACAACTTCATGTTCTCCTTCAGGGAGAGAGGAAGCTAGGAGGAGACAGGAAGTTTGCTGTAGTTCCTGGAATGCCCATCAAAGTCTAGCACAGGGCTTTGCAACCTTTGGAGAGGGTATGCCAGTTTGACAGCCCTACGGCACCATGAGGGGCAGGGACTCATCCCAGCAGTCTCTATCTTCACAGTCCAGCATATCTCAGTAAACACTTAGGAATCGGAACAGTGAGTAGGCGGGGGTGTGCTGATGGCTCTTAGGGGCTGGAGACTGGTAGACAGTGAGTGGACGATAACTCTTGCAGGGAATGACAAGGAGAGGGTGGAAATGGGGACTACCTCCTTTGACACAGTGCAAGTGAGTTCCAACCCCTGGCCCCTTTCCTTCTTCACTCTTTCAGATCTAGCCACCATCACATCCCCAGCCAGCTGAGCTCCCCAATGCAGGCAGCCCACGTTCTCAACCCATGGCCAGACACACTCACCAGGCTGGGCTGGGGTCTCCAGGGGCAATCCTGAGGCCTGCCTTGATGATGTCCTGATGACAATAACAACAGCAGCCAGTAGTCACTGAGTGCCAAGTATTAGCTGGGCGATATACTAAGTGCTTTACCAATATGACCTAATTTAAACCTCACAACAACCTCTATTGAAGGTACATTATCCTCAATTGACAGATAAAGAAACTGAAGCTTGGAAAGGTTAGGGCGAGCTTGCACAACTAGTAAGGGATAAAAGTCAGGAATCAAACCCAAAACCCATTTATGCTCTATATTCCAGCACCTCTCATCCCCACCCCATAACTTGAAGTGACAGATGCTATAATGAGGCTTGGCTATGAAGCTCTGAACCCTATACTCAGGGCTCACCACAGGTAGTCACAGGATTCCCCCTTCCTCTCCTGGGCTGATAGAGCCCTAAAGCTTTAGGAAAGTCCCAGCTCTGGGACTGCTGCATCAGACACTGGGTCATTCCTTTCCAAATGACCTTCTTCCACACCTTCCTCTTACCGTTTGCTGCCACCTGTCACTCTTCTTAACTCTAGGAAACTGGGGCGAGTGGAAGAATAAAAGGATGATCCTGAAGGTGGAATCTGACCCAGAGGAACAAGAAATGAGAGGAGGGTCACAGGTGGGACCCAAACCTTCAGGTCTCACCACCAGCTCCATGTACCCCACAGAACCCCTCTGGCTTCTCATAAGGTACCTTCTCTCTCAGGGCTCTTAAGGAGCTCCCAAAGCACTGTCAACCCCTCATGGGTACTCACCAAAGTCTCCAGCCTCTGGGGGCACAAGGTCTGGCCACGGGGTCCTGGCCCCTCTAGCCTTGAGAAGCAGGAAGCCCTGGCAGGATCTAGTTGGTGGTTGGGAGTTCTAGGGGCCAAGTATGCAGAGGCTCGGGCACCCTGGGACACCAATAGAGACTTTTAACATAGGCTCGTGATCTTTTTTTTCAACCCACACCAGCTCCATCTCCCCATATCTATTACCTGGCCCCTCTGGAGAGTACTTCTTTTACTTCCACGAACCAGCACTCTCTGAGCCAGACTGAGCTGGCGCCCTAGATGACAACTCTTCACCCCCTCACCTGACAGGATGGTGGCCAGGGCTGCAGGGTCAGCCACAAACTCTATGGCCCCTGGAGCCCCTGCAAGGAAAGAGAAGGAAAGGTGAAAAGGAACAGGAAGTGGAAAGGGGTCAGGGATGCTAATATAGTTATCTTAAAGTGCAAGAGTAACTAACAGAGACTCTCATTCAATTCTACTCAGTTCATCAAATGTTCACAGAAGATTATTCTACATAAGACATGGGTCTAGACACTGTGTCAGAAGTGAGTAAGACAAAGTCCACCCTTAAGAAGCTCTCATCAAACTGTACAGAGATAGCAGACTCAAGCCAAACTATGGATATGTTATAAAAGAAGTACTGCAAAGCATTAGGAGAACACAGAGCAACGGATTGTTACTGGGTGAGATGGAAAGGTTCCTGAAAAGAAGACAGTTTTCTGAAGGAAAGTTAGGGCTTCTAAGAACAATGAGCTCTCCAGGAGCAGGGACCATAACAAGCAGACCAGAAGTTGTACAAAGCCTCAAAACTCCACTGTGCCCTTCCCATTCTCTCATCCAGTTAAGGAGGCTGTGGCCCCAGGCCTCCAACAGGTACCTGTCAGGAAAGGGGGCTCAGGCTGTACATTTTGTCCTCCAGGACTAAGCCTGAGCTCCTTCAAGGGGCTTCGAAGCTGAGTGCTTCCCACCAATCTCTCTGATTTCTCTGTTTGGTGTGTGGCTTTAGGCTTGGTTCCTGCTGGGTCAACAAGGGGATGCTTAACACGGAACGGCGGCTTCTGCACCAATCTCTGTTAGGTGTGGAAAGGCAAAAATAAAGAAATCGCGTTGGGATGCGTTGCTGGTGTTAAGGTGCCTCATTGTAGCTACTACCTTCACCCATCAGGCCCCTCTCACCTTCGGATCTTGGTTCTTCTGGTCCAGGGCGCAGGGCTTGCTCGTGGGGAGAGGTGGGCGTCTCTGCGAGCGCAAAGGAATCTTGCTAGGAGTGGGAGATACATCCCAGAGGAGAGGATCCTTCGTGGCTTGGAGAGTGGTCATGATGGCTACAACTAAGATACGGAAGAAGGTAGGACCGTGGATTAAAGGTCAGCCGTATCTGGGCACCTGCCCTGCTATCCCTGAGACTCCAAACCTCCGCCCAAATCCATGCGTCCAGAAACTCCCTGCGCCTGCAAGGTCCTTCTTCTGGGTGCCACCTCCAGGCACGCCGAATCCACTCATTTGCCCCAGAACCCCAAACTACCTCTCCTCCCTGTAAGCCCCCGCAGCCCTCGTTCCCTCCTAGATCACCGTGCCACACCGTCCCCGAAGCCCCTCTGGGTTGTCCCAGTTCCTTCGCTTGTTTCCTGACTCTCGCAGTCTCGGGTACCTACGTCCCCAGTTTGTAAAATACTCCAAGCTCCCGATTGGCTGGCCCGCGCTCCCGTGTAGGCGCACGGCACCTGATTCAGGCGTCCAATCCACAGGCTTCGGAGGCGGGGCCCAAAGAGTCAGACCGCTTTCTAACTAGGAAAAAACTGACCCTGCTCAATCAGCTAATCTAAGAGCTGAGCGCAGAGTGGAAGACGTGGAGAAAGGAACGACTAGGCTGGTCTGAGGCCATGAAGGCGTGGCGCTCGGAGTCTGTAAGACAACGGGCGCTCTCGCGAGGTCTCGGGTCTGGTTAGGAAAACACCATTGGCGAGACAGAGGATTGTGGGAAGGGCTTGTTGTCCGGATCGCGGCTAACGGTATTAGATGCTGGTTCAAGTGTCTGAGCCAGGTCTGACCTCACTGTGGCGCCAAGATTTGGGGACGCCATTCCAGACCTTTATAGGAAACATCTTCTGTACGCTGTGCCCAGGATGAGACGGAGAGGGCTGGAGGAAATTGAACTGAGCCTGACAACAAAAATAAAGAAAAACTTTTTTTCTTGTCACTTGATGCTTAGTCTGGTAAGGTGTGGTCTCCATCTCGCAGGTAAGAAACAAGAAACAAGACTCAAAAAGTGACGTTGGGACTCAGTTAACATCAGAAGCGAATGGCTACTCACAGCTGAAGACTTCTCCACCTTCAGGCTTTCTTGCAGGTCTGGAGAACGAGGGTGAGGGGGCTCAGCTGAGGATAATTGGCAGGCAGGAGTGTGAGGCTGCGGAAATTTAGAATATTCTGGTTAGAATGGAAGGGGTAAACCATTAGTGGAGAACGGGATTTGGGTGACAGTTCCAAGTTTAAGGGACTCTGGTAGATTTTACCCTCACCAGGGTAGTCCCTCTGCTAACAGAGTGGTTTAAAGCAGTCCCTTGCTAACTACAAGGTGGGTAGTTCCAACCCACCAACTGCTCCTTGGGAGAAAGATGAGGCAGTCTGCTTGCATAAAAATTTATAGCTTTGGGAGCCCTATTGAGCAGTTCTTTGTCTAATTGGGTCATTATGCGTTGGGGTCGACATGATGGCAATGGGTTTGTTTTTTGGTTTTAGGGTGGTTCCTAGGATACTAGGTACCCTGATCATAAACCTAGAAATTACTCTTGAACCTCCCTCTACCCTTTCCATATCCAGTCTTTCATCCAGCCTTACTGTAAATTGTGCCTCTTAAATATTTTTTGAGTTCATCTCTTCTTCATTGTTACTGTTGTTAGTTGCCTTCAAATTGATTCTGACTCATGACCCTGTAGGACAGGGTGGGACTGCCCCATAGGGTTTCCAAGGCTGCAAACTTTGACCAGGAGCAGAATGCTACATCTTTCTGCGGTGGGGCCGCTGGTGGGTTTAAACTGCAACCTTCTGGTTCGCAGTTGAGCACTTTAACTACTGCGTGTGTTAGGCTGGGTTCTGTAGAGAAGCAAAACCAGTAAAGCTTATATATCCATATGTTGTTGTTGTTGTTGTTATATGCCGTCGAGTCGGCCCCGACTCATAGCGACCCCTCCTTGGGTTTCCGAGGCAGTATCACTATGGAAGTAGGATTGCCCAACCTTCCTTCCGAGGAGTGGCTGGTGGGTTTGAACCGCCAGCCTTCTGGTTAGCAGTCAAGTGCCTTAGGCACTATGCTACCAGAGCCCCTATATATCCATATAGAGAAAGATAAATTTATCTTAGGAAAATGGCTCACACACTTACAGAAGCTGGCAGTCCCAAATTCTTGGATCAAATGTCAAGCTGGAGGCTTTTCCCAACTCACATAGCTGCAGGGGCTGACGAGCTCAAGGTTGGTAGGCAGTATACTGGCTGTTGACTCCAACAAATGACAAATCCAAGATCTCCAGGCCGAATGGTGGATTGTTCATTCATGGAAAGTTGTAGGTAGCGCAACAGGATCCCAATCCACAGAAGAATGTCTCTTTTCCCAGGATGTCCATAAATATACTGGAAGCAGGCCACACCCCTAGGGAAACTCCCTTTCAACAGATTGGCTGCTCAAAACATACATCTGATTCCATCATGGGAATAATTTACACCACAACTGCTTAACCACACAGAATTGTGGTCCAGCCAAGTTAACACACAGCTCCAACTATCGTACTGCGCAATCAGGGTTCTCCTATCATTTTCATTACCACCACTCAAATACAAGTTACTAGCATCTCTTAGCTAGAGGCTTCCTACATTCTTTGTCTTTTTCTCCCACACTATTCCTTTCTCCACTTTGCTGGAATAATCTTCCCAAAATGCAAATCTGGTCATGGTTACATTGTTGCCTTCCTTGGCTTCTTCTCTCTCAATGCCCCCATCTTGGTCCACTCTCCACCTTGTCCCCTGTCTTCTAACTCAATGACCTTTTTCAGTTTCTCAGGTTTAGTGTGCTCCTTCTAGTTCCTCTGTTTGGAATGCTTTTTTTTTAATGCATTATTACTTCTTCAGAGAGGCCTTCCTTGAACCCATAGCCCACCCCAATCTAGAAAAGATGTTTTGGTTATATGCTATCAAAGAACAGTTTCCTTCAGAGTATGTGTCTTAGTTGGTAATTTTATGTTTATCAATGGAAACATAATATGCTTATTAATGTAAGCATAATATGTTTATTAAACTTAGTCTTACTCGACCTCTCAAGAAGGTGTTGATGGTGGTGACCCTCTGTTTTTGGTTTACAGTCATATTTTCAGTGCCTTGCATTGTGCCTGGCTTGTAAAGATACTCAGTATTTGTTGACTGAAACAATGTATGAATGAATAATTGATTGATTGACCTGGGAGACAGAAAAAAACATACAAGATCCCCTAATAGTTGAACTTCCTCTTTAAAACAAGGAAACACATTCTAGTCACTAGGGATAGTATCTTAAAAGTATAAAGAAAAATACAAATTGAAAATATGAAGTTTTCATTCTCCCTGTTGAAAATAAAGAAAATGGCTCCCTTCCTCCCCAATTCTTTCAGAATTCACTTTAGATAACTTGTAATGGCAGAATCTTTCTGAAAAGTATGTAAATCAAGGATGTTTCCTCAAGGACTTGGGAACTCTCTCTTTTGAAATGTAATCATCAAAAAAGCTCATACTCCTATCTCCCAGTTTCCTGGAAGGAGATTAGCATAACTTTAGGTATCTTACCATAAAATTATTAGAAAATTAACAATTTTATCTTAAACATGAATGTAGTGAGTTGTATTCACTGAGATATAGAAAGGATAAAATTAATTTCTGTCTGCAGTCTCTTTAGTGGATAGCCTGTGATGCATCACATTCTGGTTTAATGCTTATTCAATAATAAAACCTCTTTCTCTTCTATATTGTGGAGAGGTTTTCTGGGTTGGCAGTAGATTTCATTTTTAATAATCCCCTCCCCCCAACTAAAGGCAAGGAGGGAGCTCTGGTGGCGTAGTGCCTAAGGCATTTGACTGCTAACCAGAAGGCTGGTGGTTCAAACCCACCAGCCACTC